CTCATCCCCTCGCCCCCTCCCGTGTGACTGGATCGTATTGCACAGAATCAGGAGCCTTTTTTTGGTCTGGGATGGAAAGTTTAAGGGCAGAGGCCCCCAAGAGTCACATCTCACCCTCAGCTGCTCCCAGGACTCACTGTCCCTTCCCCGGGGTGCCGCAGTCACCGTGTTGCACTGATGAGTGTGCTTGAGCTTCCTGCAGAGATGGTGTTTTGGGTGAAAATAGCACAGGAAAAGGAGCTATTTGTGTGATAAACTTTGCTTTATACTCCTGCTTTAGTTGTTCAGCTGAAGACAGGGTTTTTTTGGGGGGCACGACGGTGTGTTCAGTAGATTAGTAACAGATTCCTGAAGCCTGAGAGGTGGTTTTTATTTTTAAATTATAATTATTTTAATGGTAAGCAGAAGCCAGGAGCTCTTGGGCCGAGCTGATCCCACAGGAGGGCTCTGACTAAGACATGGAAAGCTGAACACCAAAATAAAACTTGCCAGCCTCATGGAAATACTCAGCAGATCGTGGCTCCTCCACTTCCAGCCCAGGTCGCTGCTCCTTGGCAGAGGCTCAGGGCTCCAGCCCTCCAGGGCCAGCAGAACAAAAAGAAGCAGGAGGAGAGGAGGAGGGCAGGCAGCCTTTTGTGCCTGCTGGTGGTCCTGCTTTTGCTTCCACTTCCACGCTTCCAAAGCTGCCTCGTTCTTCTGGCAGGCAGGGTCTCTTGGTGGGGGACAAATGGTTCCACGTGAAACAGGGTGTAACTGTTGTGCTTTGGGGCAGTTGAGCAGACCTGGAGGTATGGATGGAGATGAGGATTTGCTGCTCCCACTGGGAGCCTGGTGGGAAGAGCAGTTTCTGGCTGCCCGGAAACAAACCTGAGCTTCTGTAAGCTGAGGGTAAGGAGGTGGCTTCAGGCTGGGGGCTGGGTTTCAGAGCTCCCTTCTGCAATGATTTTGGCTTGGAGTGAGTCATAATTGGGCTTAAGCAACTCCTCTTAATGATGGGGGGAGTTATCTGTGTGCCCCCAGGGAGGAGATGGCAAGGGGTGAGTGCAGACCTGCTGAGTGAGACTCTCCAGACACTATTTTACATCTCAGAGAGCCAGGAAAGAGGCAAAGAAACTGTCTCACTTTGGAATTGAATTTCTAATCTGAGATCTGTGAGTAAACCAGGGAACCTGGCTTAAGAAAACCAGAGGAAGCCTTTGTATCACAGCTGACCTGCTTGGAAGGAGGGCTGGAGATCGTGCAGAGACTGGGCTCTCCATATGTCCCATCCCCAGGGCATCTTGTTTTAGGTTTCTCTGCAGCTTTTGCATGCACAGAGCATCCCAAGGCTGGTGAAACCAGCGATGCACCTCACGGGCACAGACCTGACCCAAACATCCCACGTTGTGGGTTGGCCTAGATCCTCAATGTGCAAAGAGCCTCATCCCTGTTCCTGTCTGCACCAACAGAATAACTTGGCACTTGGAGGGGGAGAAAGGAAGACCCAAGGTTGGGCATGTTGTCCACAGTCACACAGAACATTTTGGGTTTCCTGCTGGTGGTGTCCATCTGTTGAACGATCCTGGTCTCCATCTGTTGAATGATCCCTTGGCACGTTCCCTGTCAGTTTGGGCATCCCAGGCAGGCTCTGCCACGGTCTGTTCATAACAGGTGGGACTTTATCCCACTCGATTTCAAGAGGGAGTTTTCTACAAGAGGCACAAGAAGCATTTCAGGCTGCAAAGTGTCAGCTTGAATCGAGGTCTCCGTGCGTGGCCTTGGGGTTTTGAGCTGAGCTTTGCCTGGGAGAAGACAGTTGTCATTTCTCTGCACATCTCGTGGTCACAGCATCCTTGGGGTATAAAACATGGAGGACAAAAGGGCAGCATGGTTATATATATATGTATTTTTATATATATGTATTTATATATACACACTCTGTAGGCTCACAACCCGACACAAACTCTTGCGTGGGGTTTATTCAGCTCTCTAGACCATTGTGAGATATTTGGTTTCATTTTTGTCCTGAATTTGGGGTGGCAGCTGGGAGTGAACAACGATTTGGCTCTGGTTTGGGGCATTGTCTCTTGTATTGGCAGCACAGCTCCTGTGGAGTTGGTGGGATTTGTTTCCTGGTCCAACCCTTGCATTAAACCCATTGGCATCGCCCGTCCCTTCGACCGCTGCTGCCTGGGGCTGGTGGGGTTTTGGCAAACTGCTGCTGCCTGGGGCTGGTGGGTTTTTGGCAAACTGAATCCCCAGGCAGGCTCGTGCCATTCCAGGCAGCATCCAGAGGGATCTCAAGGCAACAAGAATGGTGAGAATTGTTAGTTTAAGCAGGAAAAAAATAGCACATTCCAGCGGGCCCATGACTCATGTGGCAGCTCAGAACGTCACGAGGAAGTGGCTGGGAAAGCTGCTCCCCGCCGCAGGGGACCTGCCCGGGTTTGAGGAAGTGGCTGGAAGTGCTCCTGGCTGATGGCACTTGGCAGGATTTGGGGTAAAAATGAAGGCAATCATTCTTGTCCATCTGATTCTGCAGCTCTTCTGTTGCTCTTGGGTCCATCTCTTTGCCTGTTGCTCTCTGGAGTCTTCTGGAGTCTGAAAGCTGTGAAGTTTGATCTCCAAGCACAGTCGTGTCTGGGGATTTATTGAAGACTCAGATCTTCCAGTTTGGGGGCTGAAGAGTTGAAAAGCTCCAAAAGTCACCTCAGCTTTTCTTCTAGAAATCACCACGTGCTCAGCAGGGGCTGATGTTCAGCTGGTTTAAAGTGGATGAGCCATTTCCTTGCCTGGTGCAAGTGTGAGGCACTGGCCCAGGCTGCCCAGGGAGGTGCTGGAGTCCCCAGCCCTGGAGGGGATCAAAAAACGTGTGGATGAGGCACTTGGGGACATGGTTTAGGGGTCGTGGTAGTGTTGGACTTGATGATCTTAGAGATCTTTTCCAACCTTCATGATTCTAGGACTCCAAGTCTGTTGTGTGTCTCTCCAGTGTTTCTATCCTGCAGTGAATCCATTGGAGGAGTCCCATTTCTACACCAAAAGGGAGGGACTGAACCAGCAGCAAGAAGCAGTCGGTACAAGTGCCCCCAGATTGCCCTCAGACTTGTGGATTTATTCCCAGCAAGCCAAATTTGCCCTTTTCTCATTTCATTTACCACTTTGAGTCAACGTACATACATTTGCTGACAGAAGGAGCCCTTGGTATGAAGAGTCCCAGTGAGAATTATCCATCCTAACAGGGCTGTGAGCTGAGCTGTCTCCCTGTACCCATCACAAACTTGGTGTTTTATGCAACAGACAGGGGGATGAAAAGAAAAAAATGTTCCAGAAAGAGAAAATCAATAATTTCAACCTTCCTCTGAGTACAAACTGTCTGCAAGGTTCTGGGCTCCCTTCAAACATTGTATGCTGGCAGACTTTGTTCTTCTGATGGAATCCTCCCCTGCTCCTTTCTGTGCAGCTCTAGACATTGCCAGCTTGTGAAAAACTCTCCAGCGTGGTCACAGTGCCACAGAATGGGTTGGGTTGGGAGGGACCTTAAAGACCATCTAGTTCCACCCCCCTGTGCCATGGAGCCTTCCTTTTATCACTGACCTACCTGTAGAAGTTTTTCTTGTTCCCCTCGATGTCCCTGGCCAGATTTAATTCTTTAAATGAATTTCAATTCTTAATTCTTTTTAATTCTTTTAATTCTTTAGCTTTCCTGAACTGGTCCCTGGCTGCTCGGAGGACTTCTTTGTACTCCTCCCAGGCCACCTGTCCTTGCTTTTACTCTCTATAGACTCTTTTTGCATCTAAGTGTGTCCAGGAGCTCCTTGTCCATCCAGGCATTCTTGCCTGTCTTCCTCTTTTTTGAGGATGCCTTGCTCCTGAGCTTGGAGGACGTGGTCCTTGAATACCATCCAGCTTTCTTGGCCCTCTCTCCCCTGCAGGGCTTTATCCCATGCTACTTAACCAAGCAGATCCCTGAAGAAGTCAAAGTCTGCTCTCCTCAGGTCTAGGGCAGTGACTTTGCTGTGCACCCCTCCTCCTTGCCCTAAGGATCTTGAATTCTGCCATTTTGTGGTCACTGCAGCCAAGGCTGCCCTTGAACTTCACGTTAGCCACCAGCACCTCCTTGTTGGTGAGAACAAGGTCCAGCATAGCACCTTTTTTCATTGGTTCCTCTACCACTTGTATAAGGAAATTGTCATCAGTGTATTCCAGGAACCTCCTGGATTGCTGGTGCCCTGCTGTGCTGTCCATCCAACAGATAACAGGGTGGTTGAAGTCCCCCATGAGGACCAGAGCTTGTGGATGTGCAGCCACTCCTATCTGTCTAGAGAGGGCCTCATCCTGCTCGGTCTTCCTGGTGAGGTGGCCTGTAGCAGACCCCCACTCTGATGTCAACTTTCCCTGCCTTCCCTTTAACCCTGACCCATAAGCTCCTGATCAGTGTCTTCTTCTCCAGACCTCCACAGGCTTCCAAAATCTATCCAAGAGACGTGACCTTGGGACGTTTGAGGAAATCACAGTGATTGCTTTTGGCACATACGGTTGATTAACAGCAACCAAAATCGGGCTGAGTTCAGAAATCCTCTTTGAGAGCCCCGTTCCACTGAGCTGTGAGGTGGAGAGGACACAGAAGACCCATCGTGCAGAGGGATGGGGGTGTCAGAGATGAGTCGAGACTGCACAGAAACACCTGGATCTGAGTTGAAGGTCTGAGCCCCGTGGGTGTCCAGGCTCCTCAAGTTGAAACCAGCATTTTTGGCTGGATTTTTGTCTTGGATGCCCCTCTGGATATTCAACAGGAAGAATGAAACGAAAGGTGGGAGGAGGAAAGTGCAAGTCTGGTTTATTTTCCTGTGGGGATGGATGTGCCTGGAGATCATCCCTGCTGCCTCATGGGGAGCAGAGAAGCACCTGCTGATGTTGGGCTTGTGGTTTAAGGGGGAAAACCTCTGTCCCATTCATCCTGCATCCTGTCCACCCACCCGGCACGTGGTGGCTTGGCCAGTCAAACCCCCCCAGACACTAGCCACGGTGGAGCTCATCAAACCAAGCCAAAGCTTTTGCTCTCGGGCTCTCCCAAGGATGGCAAGTGAGTGGCACAGCAAGAGAGGGTGAAACAGCACGGAAAAGAAGCTGGCACATCACAAACCAGGGCGATGACGCCGGGTGGACTGAGCACCAGAGCATCCTGGCGAGGGAAAGGGGATGGTGACACCCTTGCGTGTGGCCCACAGAGCCGAGGAGCCTCTTAGGTGAGGGTGTTGGAGTAGAAGCTGAAGCTTTCGGAGACCGTTTTGGAGTCGCTGCGGGAGGAGCCGTTGGAGGTCATGTCCACGGAGAGACGCTTGGCCTTGCTGCTCTCCTCCAGCTCCTCTTCGGCCGTGCCCACCGCTGAGGACACGGTGGTCTCTATCCGGCTGACCTTGTACATGCTGCTCTGGGTCTGCAGGTATCTGGCTGACTTCATCTCCAGCCCCTCGTACTCCCCGGGGCTGATGAAAGGGCACCACCGAAAGGCGTGTTTGAACCCCACGCGAAACCTGGGGGGGTGGAGAGAAGAGATGGGGAGAGGTGGAGGTGAGGGACGTGGAGGTGGAAAAGGACCTCGCTAGGAGGGGGAGGATAGAGCTGAGCACTGCTAAAAAAACAACAAAAAACCTGCTGCTGTTCTCTGAGGGGAGGAAAAAACCTGTGATACTCCAGTGAGAGTCAGAGGTGTTTTGATACCTGCCCTCAAATCCCCCAGGAAAGACTTCTTCAGGTGAGAAAAGTGTCATCCCTGCACCTGCTGGAAGCAGACCCCAGCAGAGGATGGGGCAGAACCATCCTGGACTCTCCATCCATAGGCTCTCCCATCCGACCTCTCCATATCTCCCCCTTCACAGAGATCATCAAATCAGAGTCATTTAGGTTGGAAAAGACCATTACAGAATCACAGAATGTCAGGGGTTGGAAGGGACCTCTGGAGATCATCAAGTCCAACCCCCCTGTCAGAGCAGGATGATTGAGATCATTGAGTCCAGCAGGTCACCCAAAATTCCCAAGTCCACCACTAAACCATGTCACTAAGCCCCACATCTACACAACTTGTAAATGTTGCACCAAGGTGCTGCCAAAAGTCCCTCGAAACCCACCTGTCATTGAGGCAGCAGTAGATGATGGGGTTGTACATGGTGGAGCTCATGGCCAGCCACATGATAGCCAGGTAGACCTGCTGGATGAACTTCTGCAGGTACCACTCAGGGTTGATGTACTGCAGGGTGAAGTAGACGTGGTAGGGCAGCCAGCACAGCGCGAACGTGCACACCACGATGATCATCATCTTCACTACCTGCCAGGAGAAGAGAGGGCAGGGAAGCAAAGTCATCCCTTGGGTGCCACACAGATGAGGTGTCACCCTTCAGAAGGGACAGTTTTGCCCTGGAGACCTTTCCAACCAAGAAGACATGGTCAACGTCTTGGTTAAACCATATTCATTTATGGAGGACACACATCTGGAGGACACTCTGCTCTGTTAGCAACAACTATGTGACAAATCCAGGCCTCTTTCTGTCCCTGATGTATTTTTGGGTGTGGATAGGTAAAATTGGGCATGAGTTATGGGTCCTGCCATGCTTGGAGCTCCTTACCTTCCGCTTAGCCGAGACCTGCTCGTGGTAGCGGTCGGAGGAGTCCCCGGGTATCTCACTCGCCCAGAGGGTGATGCCCACCACAGTGTAGGCCCATCCAATCACCAGGAGTGGCAAGAAGTAGATGAGGATGGTCATGCAGAAGTGATACCTAGAAAAAATGATGGTTGTTGAGTCCTCTACCTATTCAGGCTTTTTCTTGCAAACCGAGCCTGAAGGCAAAGTGCTTCACAAGGCCAAGGAATTTGGCCCAATTCCTGCAGACATGTCTCCTGGGGCTGGGAAGGGCTCCCTGCTTTCACCCCTGTCTTTCCTAAGCCCTGTTGCCAGCCTTTGGCATCCTGGCACCCTCCTGGGGCAGGGTGTAGAGTCCAGGGAAGAACTTGTGTCACCTTCTAAGGTAACGATGTTTTAGCTGAAGTGGCTTCACTCCCACTGTTTACATCCCAAATTATCCTAGAGATGAATGCTTGCTCTGATCACATCTTTTATCTGGCAGTCCTGCAGGAGAAGATGTGGATGCTTTGATGCCCAAAGGATGGGAATATTCAGCTGAAGAACTAAAGGCTTTCCCTGTAGGGCAGTTGCCTAAATCCCACCCCACCCTCAGTTTAGCTGGGCTCAGGTGCCACGAGGCATAACCCTAGTCCCCAAAACCACGGCCAGAACCTTTGTCACAGGAGTTTGGTAGAACTTTGCTGGGAATTCAATGGCTGGATCAGTTCTCCAGGCTCATGGAAGGGACAGGACCTTTGTGTCTGTTTGTAACAGGTCTAAATAAGGCCAAAATCAAATGGGAGGGTCTGGATTAAACTGTTAGCGTGGGTTTGAGACTCGTGGTGTGAAACTGGTGGAGCCATGCCTGGCTGCTGTAGCCATGTGGGGTTGCAGTGGGTCCAGTGAAGGATTTGCATTAAATAGCAGCTGATGGAAAAAGGAAGAAAATAATTCTGGTTTTAACACACAGGACAAGGACAAGGTTTGGCCTTGCAGGGTCCTTCCCACCATCAGAGCTTCCCAAACCCTCTCTCCCCTGCTGAAAGATGAGGAATGGTGGTATAGAAACGTGGCTGGCCTGCAAAGCATCAGGTGTGCTGCCAGGTCATAGATTCACAGCCTGGTTTGGGTGGGGAGACACCTTTCAAGGTCATTGAGTCCAAGCCCCCTGCACTGAGCAGGGACATCTATAACCAGAGCAAGTTGCTCAGAGCTCCATCCAACCTCACCTGGAATGTTTCCAGGGATGGGGCAGCGACCACCTCTCTGGGCAGCCTGCAACAGGGTCTCCTCACCTTCATCATAAAAGATTCCCTTCTTCTCTCTCATATAAATCTTCCTCTTTTAGTTTCAAACCATCTCCCTTGTGCTGTCCCAACAGGCCCTGCTCAAAAGTCCCTCCCCAGCTTTCTGACGGGCTCTTTGAAGTCCTGAAAGGCCACCAGAAGGTCTCCTCGGAGCCTTCTCCTCTGAGCCTGAACAACCCCAACTCTCTCCTGCTGCTCTCCCAGCACTGGGGTCCAGAACTAATTTCCTTCCAAGAGCTTTAGGGTCTTTGTGGGCGTTTTTGGGGTGCGGGAGCATCTCCCATCCAAGCTGCTGCCCCCGTTCCACGCCCCACAGCCACGCTCTGCTCTTGCCCTCGCTCTTCCTCCTGGGAGCTTCTCCTGGATCCCTCCACAGTGTAAGGAACGGCTCGGGACCGTGCCTGGCACAACTCCCACAGGGCTGGGGCTTGGCCAGGGCCCCGTGCTGCCACGCCAGCCCCTCCTCCTTTTGTACCTGCAATCTCATTTGGCCTCCTCCTCGCCCGGCGCTAATCGCATTTGAGCTGGATTTTGGAGGGCTGGTTTCTGTTTCCCTAATTAAAGAGGCGTCTCTGTGGCTCCGCCGCCAACGTTTCGTCGTGGAGCCCGTGTGAGGCAGGGGCTGAAACAGGCTCCCAAACAGCTGAAATGCCCCAGAGGACCTGTCGGATAACGTCAGTGAGACAGACCCTTATTTTCAGAGCTGCCTGGACACGGTTTCTGGAAATCTGGGCAGAGGTTTCCAAAGCCCCTGCGACATTTTTTTCTAGGCGTTGGGTGCTGAAAATTGGTCCCTGTGTGAAACCATCTGTACGTTATTCCACCCACAAGAACTGCCAGATCAGAGCACCCAGAGAAGCCTGAGCTGTGTGATTTAAAGGTCTGCGCCGTGGGGATTTAGGGTCTTGCAGAGGAGCCCGGAGGAGCGCTGGAGGAGGGGGCTGCCACCCCCTTTTTGCCTCGCCAAGCCCAGAGGGTCAGCTGCCAGAGAAGCCGGCGAGCTCAGCGGCTTTCACCCTTCCCTTAACAACCCGAGATGGCAGCTAATGAAATGGGGATGGATCAGCCATCCATTCCGAAACCAAAAACGGGAGAGGGAAGCGGTGGCTGCATCGATCCGAGCTCCTGTTTCAGCCTGTGCCGGGGTCTTTGTCCTCCTCCCCCAGGAGAGAGGGCTGAGAACGGGCACGTTTGCCCAGGGAAAACCATCCCGTGCACACCCCAGCCTCCGGCCCCCTCTTCACGCCAGGGTTGTGCCTTCTTGGGCTCCGTTTGCCAGGAGGGAGGACGCCGTGGCGTTGGCAGATGTTTCCTCTTTTCACTAGGAAGTGAAAAAATAATATTATTTTTCACCCTTGCATTGCAGAGGCGCCAGCTGCTGCTGGTGCCTGCCTTAAATAACTGCACCAAGGCCACGAGAGCAGGGGGGGGTCTGCCAGAGACCCAACCACCTGTCCCCAGAGAGTTATTTTGGGGCAGTAAAACAACTTGGGCTCTGCTGGGCTCTGTGAGCGGCTTGGAGAGACTCTGCTGAGCCCCGAGTTATTTTGCAGTCCCCACAGAAACATTTGGGGTTGGGCTGTTTCAAAGCTTCTGCTTAGCATCTGCTCTTCTGGCTGCCCTCGTCTGTCTGCAGAGCCCCCAGCTCACCACAGAGCACGGGATCCAGAGGGAAATCACTCATGGGGTGGTGGTTCCATTCTTCTCTTGAATTGGTGATTTGAGAAAGCGGCAGCCCCAGTGTAGAGCCCAATGATCCCTCAAAGTCTGGTGAGGAGCAGCTGAGGGAGCTGGGGGTGCTGGGCCTGGAGCAAAGGAGGCTCAGGGGAGACCTTCTGGCTCTGCACAGGCGGGGGGAGGTGAGATGTCTTCTCCTCAAGGGACAGGACAAGAGGAACCAGCCCCAAGTTGCCCCAGGGGAGGTTGGGGTTGCCCCTGAGGAACAATTTCTTGCCCTGGAGGGTTGCCCAGGGCTGTGCCAGGCTGCCCAGGGCAGTGGTGGAGTCCCCACCCCTGGAGGGGTTCCCAAGCCATGGAGATGTGGCACTGAGGGACACGGGGCAGTGGGGACCTGGCAGTGCTGGGGGGTGGTTGGACTCAATGATCTTAAAGGTCTTTTCCATCCAAACTGATTCTGTGGTTCTGTGAAGTCAGACCCTGAGCTCAAGCCAGCCTGGGGAGCCCCAGCCCCATCCCAGCCCCGTGGGCTGTCTAAGCTGGTGACATTTCTTCACACTGTATTTATCTCAGTGACCTGGAATAAGCAAGGTTAGAAAACACCTCTGGACATCAGCCCCAGCTCAGCTCCTGCCATTCCTGTCTTGCAATGCACAGAAAAAGAAGACAATGATTGACCCCGTCCAGCTCTGCAGCCACCGCTCGGGGCTGACTCCAAACTCACCTGGTCTGTCTGGTGGGGAGACCTTCACCAGGCTCAGGCTGTGCGTGTGTGTGTCCTGCCTTGGCTCCAGCCCAATTTCACAGCCTTCATTCATTGCTCTGCAGGACTGGGGACCATAAATGCCTCCCCTCCACCCCTCTTTTACTTAACAGATGACATTTAACTGGCCGCATGACTCCTGGACTTCAAAGAGCAAACCACTGAGGAGCTCTGTGCTGGCAGACTGGCCGGGTTACCCAGAGCCTTTGGAAAGGCCAAATTTAATTAGCTGGCCCCTTAATGGGAAGGAAGGAGATCCCTGCTGAGCCCTCCTAGCCCAGCATTTGCCTCCTGGCCTGAGCTGATGCCACAGAGCCTCTTTTTGACACTTGTTTTTTAGCTGTCGAGTGAATTTTGAGGCATTTAGACTCCCTAAATCCCAAACTGTATTTTTTTGTTATTGCTTGTCCAGGATACCTCCAGCAACCCCCAACTCAGCTCCTGCAGGAGTAACTCTTGCTCCAGGAAGCCTTTAGAGATATGGGTTGCAGGAAAGGAGCTGCAAAACCCAAACCTACTCTAGTTCCACAGCCCTTGGCCCTCGTTGGTGCAGGGGGAGGATTTCCCCAGCCCGAGGAGCTTGGGGCCGTTCCCATCCTTCCTCACTTCCTTGTTTTACATCTATATCCCTTTGTTGTGGTTTGAGGCTTGGAATGGGGGCGTGACCTTCCAGCAACTGGGAGGACCCCGGGTGGGGGTGAACCATTGTATTCCCTCCCCTTCCCACACACACTCTGATAAGAGGCAGGGAGTGGGTTCTAATTTCACTCCTGCCTTGGAGCTCGGAGAGGGAAGTTGTCCTTTCACTCCGTGGGACCCTGGAACCATTTCTGAGGGTTTTGTACGTTTTATTTTTTGTATTATTCCCCTAATCTTTGTATATATTATTTTCCTTACCTCCCTTTTTCGTTTTCTGTTCCTTGTTGAACAATATACTTCATTTTTTTTCCAAAGTCTCTCTCTCTCTGGGGGGGGAGATGCGAGTCCATAGTTCTGTTCCATGTGGGTCCTGCCCTGAACCCCTTTTTACACGGAACCAGGACACCCTTTAATCCTGACTCGGGCCCCCCTGTCAGCCAAGTCCAACTCACGTTTTCCCGTAGACGTTGGCGCTGTGCTCCGGCCACGCCACCAGACACACCACCCGGCCTGGCAGCTCCTCTGTCACCGAGTAGTAGCCCTGGGGGCAAGCCAGCAGGAAAGCCAGGAGCCAGATGACGCCGATCACCACCTTG